GAACCCCACGCTTAGTGGGGAGAGAGCCAGGCCTGGCAACCCGCACAACCGACCTTTCCTCCCCCCGACTGAAACCCTCCACGAGGAGGGAGCAGAACGCCTACGAGGCCCACCGCCAAGGAGGAGGCCACGGCTGAGGGTACCGAAGGCAGCCGCGAGGGTGACAAGGACCGGGGCGGGCGCGCTTCCCCCCCCCAGATCCCGCGGAAGACCATCCGCGAGTCTCCGCCTCAAGCCAGGCCTGAACCCCGGCCGAAGAGGGCCCAGATCCTCCGTTTCCTTCGGGGCCCTCTGTATTTGGTCCCTCGGCACCATCTCAGCCGGAAGGGAAGGTGGGAGAGCAGGCGCCAGCTCTCCAAGGCCTCTGGGCACCACCGGCAGGGTTCCTTCCCGCAAGGAGGCATCCACTATCTCCCGGCTCCAGGAGGAAGAGAGCCTTTTCTGCCGTGGCACGCGCCCTGTGGAACATCATCCCGCCGGGGATTAGACGGGCCACGGGCCTACTGGCCAGACGGGTGGTGGAGCCCGTGCAGCAGCTGTGCTAATTGCTGCCGGCGATACCTTTTCCTCGGGTGCTGACTGTACTCGTACGGTTTGCATGCCGTTTTTTGCATCTCTGTCCGCTTCCTCGGCGACATGTGAATCCAGCCCCTGTGAAATGCCAGTTAAGGTGAAGAAACGCATAATGGAGGGAAAAGTGGTGGCCTGGCTACCCTAATTCCCTCATCTGTTGCTCTCACGGTCTCCAACGGGCAGCTGTTCGTTTGTGCTTTTTTAAGGCCAGTTGGCCAGTATTTTACTGGTGATTGGAACAGACAAGGGTCACAGCCAGGCCAGACCAACGTCCCACATCATCAAGCCACCTGCTTTCTGCAGGGTCCCAAGAGACCCCCAGAAACAAGTTCGAGAGTTTCCTTTTGGTGGGGCCGAGTGGCGTCTTGCCTCTCAATGGACCTGCCTCGCCTGGTCCAGCCAGTGACCAGAAGCCATCTTGGGGCAGCCGATCCTATCAAGTACTCCTCGATTACGAGAGGGAGAGAGAGAGAGAGAAAGAGAGAGAGAGAGAGAGAGAGAAGGGTATGCCATTCTCCCCACACTAATTCTACCCGATGATCCAAAAATGCGGGTCCTGCGTCACACGCTTGGCAAAGTGCCTGGCTCTCTGTGCTCCAACTGCATCGCTCCAAATCCCAGCGGCTGGGTTGCCATAGAAAGGCGCATTAAACCAGTGAAATTAAACTATGGCTAAGCATCAGGGGTGATTTTGGGGATGGTAACAAAGTCGATGTTGGCTAGGACTCTGTGATCAGAGCTTTGCCCGTTTTTTATGTGATGCCCGTGAAAAGCAGGCAGAGCTTTGCTCAAACTGTCATGGGCACCCTTCTGAATTTTCTGACCACACCTTGCAGCACCCCTGCGTAGCATAACGTATCCATGCTGGTATCGCTTACTTAGCTGGAAAAAGTGTGGCTCGCAATTTCTAAAGTACAGCACGATGGGATCTCTGTCTCTTTCTCTCTCAGACAGACCCACACCCAAACACACACATACACCTGAAAGTGGGCCCAGCGGGTTGATGGGGCCGGCACGGGCTAGTTGGTGGATGGAAGTGAGCTGTTATCTGGGCCCCAGCGTCCGTCGTCAGTTCTTTGAAACGGCTGTTTTACTGCTTCGTGTTTTTATTGCGTTCACCTCCCAGAGTCCCGTCTGGCAGATGGGCAGCTGTATGAATTTGTTGAATGAGTGAATGAATGAATGAATGAATGAATGCAGATGGAAGGAAGGAAGGAAGGAAGGAAGGAAGGAAGGAAGGAAGGAAGGAAGGAAGGAATTCTGATTCTATTATGTTTCCTTTTTGTAAAAAAAACTTGGCTCCCTTCTCTGCCCACCCATACTACATGTTTGATGGAGAACAGTCCAATATTGCTAAGTGAGGCAAATTGGGGGGCGGGGGGTGAGGAGAGAGCAGTCAAGGGAACATCTGCCGGATGGATGGGAGCCCAGCTTGATCATACAACCGGGGGG